CTTGATAAGTCGCTGGGACATGACGAAATGCAATGGGGGCACCAGTGGGCACCTTGCTATGTACATAATGTGCATGTACGACAGTTTTTGATGCTATGAAGAGCGTAAAAAATGAACAAAATCCATGTATTATGACGTATGTGTATGAAATGAACCAGTTACCCCTATAACAATATTACCCTTATAACAATATTTCTCGGTCTGACGCAAATATCGTTATAAGGGTAGGTCGACTGTAACAACGGGGAGCCCGTTTGTATCACCTGAACAACCAGACTTCAAAGCAGCTTGACGAAATCGGAGGGTGCCTCGTTGCTTATCGTGAATATTACACCGACATGAATTACTACAAGTATACTGGTGAGTTTTTATCTTGTTTTGTTTGTATGCTAGTACCCTGGCCTGGAGTTCTCGTTAGCAAATTCCTATTCCCTGGCGTTTTTTTTACACATTCCGTGTAGTACTGAATACGTGATCAAGTATTCCGATTTGGGTAGATGTGGAATTTGGACACGAATTTTATAAAAAAAATCAATTTTCCAAATAGAGCGTTTGTAGAGAAATGGTTGCCCAAATACAACAAAATTGATTCTTTATGACAGTTGGGGTCAATGAAATCTGACCCAGGCATAACGAATGGTGACGCCTGCCACCCCAGGAACGAATGCCCATTTGGTGGGGGATACCAAAGTACTCGAAAGTGGTGCGTGTTTCAATGTGGCATTTGGAAGTTTTATATGATCTCTGGTCAATGCAACATACGATAGCCATCATGAATTGCAGGCCTCGAACGCAACTCAGACCAGAATTGGCAGTTCCCTAAGTTAGATGCTTTATAATTCCATGGCCCCAGCTGTAGTTATAGAGATTTTTTGGCACATTATTCGTATAGTCGATAGGTTTATACTGAAGGCCACAAACAACGGCAGTTCAAACTTCACTGATGTATTCATGAGCTGAGAGGTTTCTCTCCACCATTTCTGTTGTGCACACAGGTCTGTCCTATATGCACTGACGGTATTGGGTATGGTATCTGCTCTGAGAAGGGAATCACTGGAGCCACAGTCCAACTATACAGGCTTTCAAGAAACAGAGAGGAGCCATCTTTGCAAGCTGATACCTGATGTGTACCGACAGAATTCTCACGAGATACCTTACGGACTACGTCTGGTGTATACTTCATAGTACTCCTTCGACTACTGTCTAGAATCAAGTCGACTGAAACACGTTCAAACAACTCTGGCTTCAAACGAGGCGTCGATTAGACAAACAAAACATTCTCTTATATACTAGAGCACTCTGACAACTCACGACCTATTCCTAACGATTGCCACCGCTTATAAATATGTAGAGTGCTGATTGGAGTGTGCTCACAATCTCAACAATTCAGTGCTATAATCATTTGAACAATTTGTTAGAAATTATTCCACTTTTCCTTCTGTAAATGTTGTATCCACATATAGTCCACAGTGCTGCAAAGTTTCAGAGTTCTCAGGGTATCAAACAAAATTATTTCAAATACAGTGAAATTGTTCGTGGACATAGAGTAACTTGGGGTTGAACATATTTCTATATAGGGGACCTGCAACTGTAATACCACAGTACAGTAGCCGGCAAATAATATTATGTAGAAAACAGATATGCATGTTCCCATCATTGTACATGGACGGGCGCAGCAGGCCAAAGCTATCAGCCAGAACAGGATTTACAATCACCTAGAGATACTTGAGCTATTCCAGTATTCTCCGTGAGCTGTCCCATTCCACAACAGTCAATGGTTCATGCCACCATTATTTTTGGTAGTATCCATGTGCATAATTCCTAGACCATTTCGGATTCTTCAGCAATTTGTGCCACGGCAAAAGACAATGCTTAAAACTCGGTCACTGGGGCTGTCAAACTTCCCATCACAAATGAACTTCAATTTCTCATCTGTTTCAAGTATATGTACTGCCATGACTTGACCATGCTTTATCTACAGCTGGGCGAAGATTGTGGCGTTGAATTCCGTAGCGCACCTTCTTGCTGCCATGCAGGAGTATGTTGAGAGAAGTGAACATATTTTTACTAAAAAATAACAGCCACTGAAGAGGATAGAAATAGCCTTGGGTGAATTTCCTGCAGGTACACGTTGGTAGGTCTACTGGTCGGTCTCCATATCGTCAAGTTCAGAAATCACCTGTACTACACATCTTGTAGAAGGAATCCTGATCGAATAATTTTCTGGTCATAAAATTCACTACACTGAGGGCGAGACAAATAGTCAGTACTCCCCGATTCCGTCAAGCTGCTTTGAAGTCTGGATGCTCATGTGATGCTAACAAGCTCCCCGTTGTTACTTCCAGCAGCATCACTTTCCCTGCGACAGCGGCTATCAACCTCTCTCTCTCCATCGTCAACAATTATCACGGGTTCAACATTCTACATTTATCAGCACTGCACTGGGTGGATATGTCTCGAGACGAATTTAGCGGATCAACAATGCTTTGCAGGAGATAATTTCTCCTCCGGAGGACCTTCAGGGTACCTGGAAGGGTATAGAAGACGGGATCGCTCACGACGTTGAGAGAACATAGAAAACAACCTCCTCTTCGATGAAAATTGGCCAAAAAGTATGTGAAATGTATGTGCGCAGATACATTTCCACTGGCAAGCTAATCCCTCATTACGTCATCAGCGCTCACTCGGCGAAATTCAAGTCGTCTTCCTGCTCGACTCGGTCGCTTCTGGAGACTCGTTCTTGTTGAAGGGGTCTTCTCTTTCACCAACCTTCGTCCCGGCATCGAAAACTCGGCGTCGAAAATGAAGCCGGAGTGCCCCGGTAACCTGCTATAGTGCTCAAATGCCAGTGATGGGCAGAGCACAAGGGGTGTACAAAGCAGGAAGTAGGAAAGTATTACCTAGTCAAATGATTAGTTCTTAGTGTCGTTATTAGCAAGTTCCTGTCACAGCTACATGTACAATATACATGTAGATCTACATTTGCAGTAGCTTGATCCACTCTGGATGACGGGGAGCATTGTGAAGTATTAGTAGTTGAGTCTTTGACCCAATCTTTCCGTCGTGTCAGCCCCAGGGCCATCCGTCATGCTGGTGGACTGAGTCTGTGACCCGGCGATTTCAACATTGTTCCAAAGGGAAAGGGGACTGGGCACACAAGTAGAAGTAGAATGGTCTGAACCTATCATTGCCTACATGACAACTAAAACCAGTTAGAACTGTACTCTACGTGCAGTATTTTGACGATGTTTCTCACCTCGCTATCATCCATAGTTGAGAGCAGCTCTTCCACGCGTTCCAAGTCGCCATTTCGACAGCTCTGGGAAAATTTCTCCTTCCAGGATTTGCCCGACGGCCGCCAAGTGGCCATGCAACCGGTCGACGTGCGCAACCTTCGCCCGCTCCACTTTTCTTTGGACGTTGCAGGTCAAACAGCCTACATTGACGGTGCTTTGGACACTAGCTCCCACTCCGAACAATTTCTACGCCATTTTATTTTCCCTTTTCTCTCAGGAGCTTCCCTCCTCTCTTCTTGCTCACCGTTAGAAACGTGTATCTATGCATCCTTTCGGTGGCCATGGAACGTTCGAAGATCTGGCTTTTCGAACACTGAAGATTCCACGCGTGGTGACCAAATGCCAGCCTTTGACCAAAGCTGTGACACCCATGATGGCCATGTCTTCCTTCCGCTGCGCTGCACCCGCTCATCCCTGTACTGAGTCTGTAGGCTGCAGCTGTAACTGTAACTAACTTTGTAAGTCCAGGAACTGGTTGGTGGTTCTCTCGTCTTGAGTCTTGACTCTTGGCCTTCCACGCTACACGCACGCATGTACGTCCAGACGTCCATGGCCCTACCAGCTTGTTCGTCAGTCAGGTGGTCACTTAGCTCTAGCGGTAGATCTACAGACTGTATGAAGAGAAACTCGCATCTGCGTGATCATGGCATACCGGTACGCGGTATGGTGATCTACACTAATGACGTCGTGATGATAATTATGGCTCCGACTCCGAGTCCGAGTCTGTACCCGAGCCGGAAGTACAAGTAATACTAGTGCAGTGGGTAGTTGTCCAGTAGCATACTTCAATTATTAGTTTCGTATCATTCGACGCCGACTGATATGGGATGAGGTGGCAAAATTAGCCAGAACAGGACACGTCGTGTTGCATTACTTTTTGAAACAAAATGCAATGCAACTCCTGCCCCCAAGCCCCAAGCCTCCAAGCCCACCCAAAAAATACTAAAATTAATGCAATACTAGTAGTACCGGTAGTCTAGTACCGATCGATTGTCTATTGTACTGAACGTTATCAATGACAATGGTGATCAGCATCACCAAGAGTATACAAGCTGGGAGCTTATTATTAGTTTCACTCTTGCGAGTCTTGGTATCACCGATTTGATTTTCGATTTGATGCACTCAGGTTCTAGAATAATTATTATTGTTGTGCATGTCATGCATTGTGATCACATGAAATCCTTACCCTTTTTTATGAAACATGTTCACTGCCTGTTCGAAGAGGCATCTTTGATGTTCGCACGCTCTGTACCGCGATCCTCATGAGATTGGTCAGATTGTCCGTATTCATAATCAGATCCCAGCTCATCAGTCCTGAGTCGGACAGGAATAAAACTCCCGGTCAAGGGGGTGACCAGTCTATCCGTTTCCTAGTACTAGTAGTACAGTGTGGAATAGGCCTTGACGGATTATGCTAGCATAATTTTTCGCATAATTCCTACCAAAATCGAATAGTCGCATAATTCGAGGCAAATTGCATACGAATCGCATAATTGGACAAATCCGCCTGTTCACATCAAATTCCATACAGTTGTACATGTTCTACAAGTACAAGTACAAGTAGATCCACCAGAAAGTCGTAGTTTTACGACTCCCTTGATAACATGTCCAGTCCACTACAATCAGTGACAGTCGTAGCTACATGTACATGTACATGTAGGTCGGACGGTGCGTGGACGCCGTTGAACTTTTGCTACTACAGTAAAACGCCCTCTTCAAAAAAATTCCCCTGTTCTTTTGCACAGAACCATCATTATACATTAGCAGCATATGTGAGCATAATGCGGCATAATATGATTACTTTTAGCATAAAAATAGCATAATTCTGCAATTTTTTCAGCAATGCGAAAAGCATAATTTCACGAAAATATTAGCATAATCCGTCAAGGCCTAGTGTGGAACAGTGTCGTGGGGTTATCAGCTGTGCACAAGACGCACTGTAACAGGGGGAGGGTAACATGGATGCAGCTAGCTAACGAGGTTCACCCCCTTGTCCCGTGTCTGTCATTGGTTATGAGCAGATAGTCGTGGGGCTGTGTGATTTACCACCTACCCTCGCGGTTAGGCACTGCATCTGCCACCCTGGCATAGAGGTTATGCGAATGATTTCATGGCGGATTTTCTCGGTTTTCGGCGCTAAGTAACCAGTGTGTGTCAGCGGATTGCTAATGGGAGCTAAGTATGCAGCGTGAGTCGCTAGAGCAGCACTGCACTGTGAGGCGAGTCCGCAACTTCGCCAAGGCATCTCAACTGATGATTTAACCTCTATAATCAGGCATGGTGGTGACCTGGCACGAGGGTAACTACAGTAACACTACCTAAGCGCTGCTGCAGTGCTGGCGGTGTTTCTCCACACAATTGTATAGCCGGTGGTAACTCGGATGTACGAACGGATGTATGAACACAAGAACACGAAAAGAACACAAGAACACAAGAAACAAAGTCACTGGCAACTAGTGGCAGGCTCTCGTGCATGGCAATTAATTATTTTGTGTAGGAAGTCAACAGTAGCTACGTGTACTAGTACTAGTATTGTAGGTAGAGTTTTTGTGTTCTCTACAACCTAGCTACGTCATGTACTACAAAATGTAGTAGATCTACATCGTAGCGCAACCGCACTGTGTAGATAGACCAAGTAGTAGATCATGAGAATTTACATGGCATGATCGACCTGGGAGTCTACATAATTCATTTTAAAATTGCCTTTACTTTGGTAGATTGCGGGTTGTAGCAAAGCCGTTGCAACAGGCGATTGTGATCTTCAATCCGCCACCACAGTCAGTACAGGTCACCATAGGTGAAGTGTAGATGGGATCAGTTTCACAATCGAATCCATGCAACATGCAAGTAACTTTGTGTCTACGAGTAGAGTCCACGAGATGTAGGATGCAACATGCAAGTAACTTTGTGTCTACGAGTAGAGTCCACAAGATGTAGGATGCAACATGCAAGTAATTATTAGTTACAATGTACAGTAGTTAGTTTGTAACAGAACCAGATCAGAGGAAGTACTAAATTTTGTAGTGGATGATCACACTACAAAGTACAGTGGTATACCAACACCATGACCACTGGCAACAACATGCTAGCGCAACGGACATGATAAATTATTTCGGTAATCTACTGCTCAGACTAGACGATCGAAACGTTCAAGATATGCAGGCTAGGCGGTCGTCATATTTTCAGTCACGTGTCCAATATCACTGCTACGAAATGCGCATAGTAGATCTACTGCATTCCAATTCCATGAACATGTTTTGGTCAATGTTGACGTCGCCGGAGTGTGAAAACCTCAAAGAACGTTTCTTCCCCTCTATGAAATTTCGCTCTACAATAAAAACTTCTAGAACGAAGAAATTGTTTAGTCGCAGTTGGGAGACGATGGCGGCAAGGTTCTTTCACGAGGAAGCAGCATCCAGGCTTTCGGACGAAGAAACCCCAGTGTCACCAGAGCGCTGGGACAAGAAAGAAGTCACCCGCAATATGCCGAAGTCATCGCGATGTTCGCAGGCAAGGGCGCACGGAAGTACTAGCACATCGCCAGAAAAGGTTGTCAGCCTGTGCACTCCGTGCAGAAACCATAACGTTGTGTCTCCGTACGCTGGACACAAGCGATACTGTCCGTATCGAAACTGCACATGCGACAAGTGTCAGTTGAACGAAGATCGGCGCTGCACGAACCTTCTCCTCCGCGATCTGCATGCCGACGAAACGGGACGCAAACGAGCTCCTCGGAATAAGCTACTGCATGCAGAAGAGAGATGTTTCGAAAGGCAACGCGACCAAGATTCCAGTGAGAAAAGGCCCCGGTACAGCGTCGACCTCCATGATTGCCAACCATCAAAGCTAAAGACGGCGAAAAGTAACAGTTGCGCCACAGGTAGAGATGAAGAACAGAGGAGCGAGCCAATCCCGACAAGGGAATTTGCTCCTCGTGGCGGCGCGACATCTGGTACCGGGCTCAGCAGCATTGGCGTCCAAAGTTCCTGTTCCTCTTTCACCGACCTGGCTTGCAGTCAGAATACCACCGACTTCATGGAGCAGGCATTTGCAATGGATGATACAGCTTTGACGATAGAAGGCATGGGTATACTCGAGAAAGTACACGTGACTGACGCGCCTCTGAGCGTAGTACCGACGGACAGTGACTGCCAGTGGGACGACAGTGCTCAACAAGCCGGTAAGGATGCTACTTTCAACTTTCACATGCAGTAAAACCTGGTTTAAGCGACCACCCCACGGTGCAAGCAAAATCGGTCGTTGAAGTCAGGTGATCTTTAGCACAAGATCCCACAATGTATGTGTAGAACTGTCGGTGCATGGAAAAACGGCCCTTAAGAGCAGGTGGTCGCTAAACACAGAGGTCGCTAGCCTTTCACTAGGTCTTACTGTACATTTTTTTGTTATTCTCAGTATGATCATTTGTCCCATGATGCCGTTTTGTTGTGTGTTTGTTCACACCTCTGAATTCCCGTTTGGCTCCAAGAGGCTACCAAAACACCATTTACAGTGGCTACATGATGTTCACATCAAACAGCTACGTTCAATTGATCAAGGAAGGAAGGAGGGGGGGGGGGGGTCCACTGCGGGCTCCGCTGCTTGTCATCTGCGGGATAAAATTTCATCATTACCATAGTGACCGCGGCTCGAGCTGATGCAGCGAGGTCGCAGTGTGTGATCAATTTGTGCATATATATATATATACCGTACTGGCAATATATATGGTCGCAGTGAGGCCATGAAGCGTTACATTGGCACATGTTTACCGCACGCAGGGCGTTACATGCAAAGTCGCACAGGAGCCGTTACACAGGTTTCTATATTGCCGCAGTCCTTTTTTTGCTATTGCCGCATCACTTTTTTGCTATTGCCGCATCATTTTTTTGTTATTGCCGCATCATTTTTTGCAAACTGCCATGAAAAATCGCCGCACCCCGCTGGACGCGCGTTACGAACGCAACAAAAATTTGTCGCACTAGCCTGGTCGCGCGTTACGCCGCACCCCCTGCGTTACGCGTTACGCGGCAACATATATTGCCAGTACGGTAGTCAAACGCTCTTCAGTATACACAAATATGCTGGATGGGCTTTATCCCGTATCTTAAGTCCATGCAGATCTCCGACTTATATGCTCCAGATCGTGGCTTGTTCTGTGTGCTCGTGTGCAGAACGTCAGCGATCATCAAGAGCACTACTGGCAGCTGCAGATGGTCACGTTGACAATGCCGTTGATGCAGTTCTGTCTGTTGTCAAAGCAGAACGAGATGTGATCAATTCCATCGCAGGAAATTGACATTGGCCGATTTTGCTGTCCATTTCTAGCGCTGCCTGTGGAACGTATTTCTATGTTTTGGGTCGTTTTGCAGTGAGTACTGCTTTCAAAAAAATGTGATTCTTACTCCGTGTCCTTTAGCAAAACAACAATTGCAGCGTTGGGTACCGGTGTATCTCCAGTTTCTACTCTCACAATATTCTGACGCAGCCTACGTATGGATTAGCATTGCAACACATGTGTGATGAATGTGCATGTTGTTCACAATGCGTGCTTCAGCCTGGCAGCTTCTTAAAAGCGGCATGAATATTCTCCACTGAAGCACGGAGAGCCAGGAGCCGCCATGCTGAATTCCTGTCGCCAGCTATTCCTTGGACTAAAGAAAAAAACCGTTTACGTCCTGCATTGATCGCCAGGGAATTTGACATGGATTACAGCCGTGTACTTGATCCGGCTGCGGCAACTGTGCCATGTGCTGCCTTGTATATGACCGAAATGTGGCTTGAAGTTCCGAAGCCTTTTCAGAATATAATACCATTATTTTTTTCCATTTGTGACTCCACATTCATGTTAACCTATTCCAAACAATACACGGCTGAGAAACCGGTGAACACTTCCTATCGTATAATTTCCTTTCCTTTTGTTGTGGAAGGACTCTGTATTTTGAGTGCGAGGCGCCATTCATGGTGCAACAATGATTGTGCTGTGATTTGTTATCCAGTTGCCTGAACATAATTATAAGATGACTTCAGAGGGCATAATCAGTGGGCAATGGGTAAACGCAATTTGAATTGCGTCTACACATTGCAAGGTTGTTGTGCTACATGTACCAGACTAGCGTTACTCGTTTTAAAGGTCTTGGCAGAGAAATAATTAATTGCAAGAGTAGTCGTGATAGTACCTGTAGTACTGTAGTAAAGACTACATTGTATGTACATGTAGTTGTGCATGAGCCATATTCGACAGTAGACAACCACTACGCATGACATGCGTCTGTAGATCTACACGTGACCATTGATCAAAATCGCATGCCAGCATGTCAACCGTGGCCAAGGTAAGGGAGAACTATTAAAGGGAAACTGAACGCCAAAAATAAGTATGGCTTATCCGAAGGGGAATTGGGCACTGATTCCGATGAGCTATGTCTCGAGCCGATCAGAGAAGAGGAACCGTGTCAAATTTCATAAATAACACCTTCCATATTTGGAAATTGGGCTTGATGACGTGCGTACTGCTTAGCTGTCACCATGCTGTGCATGCTCAGCAGTGTAATTGAATGGAAGAAAACAATTACTTTGGTGCTTTGCAGCTCTATTTCGTTCCCTGACGGTAACCAAATCTAGATGTAGGAATCTGTTGAGCAGGAGAGTGACACATGTCTTCCCGAAGGCTGTCCAGGCTGCAGTGGTGATGAAGAAGACACGATCATCACCCCGAGATCGATTGTAGCGAATTGGAAAACTCATGGTGAATTTGCTTCCACTCCAAGGCAATGTCGAGGTATGAAGGGTGCTTGTACTGCCTTCCAAAATGAAGAGGAGATGAACATGGCTGTGCATAGCTGTTGTTCTACGCCAACTTACCTACTCTTGCTGATACCGTAGTGGCATATTGCAAATTTCGTGGACGAACTACTCTCTAGTCACTAGTGGCTAATGAGCAACACTAACAGGTGAGATTTTTCAATTTGACAAAATTGTTTTTGTTTGAGAACTGACAGTGGCAGTCATTAGACTCAGTAGGTGTCTTTGCTGCTTCTTTTCCTTCATTCTTAGGGTTGTGCTTGAATAGTACAAGTGCTTGAAGTAAAATAAAATAACATGTGGAACATAAAATCTAATCAAGCATCAGTACATGTATTGCGAATTTCAACTTCAAAGCACATGAAATCACTATGGGATCAGGAGGACACCATGTGTTCAACGAACACATACACACATGCTGTATCAGTGCGCACACACATGTACACATGTGCGTGCACCCCCACCCCATCCCACAGACACGCGCGTGCAGCGCGCACATCCATACACATGTGCATGTACCCCCCCCCCCCCCCCGACACAAACACACACCCTCCTACCCATACACATGTGCGTAGGACCCACGCACACACACACACACGTGTGCACAGACGAATACACAAACACACACGCCCGAACACACACAAGATACGTGTAAGTGTACATGGTCTTCCTGGTGCAGATGCGGGGCCAGGACAATGGAAAATACCTCCATCAAGATGCTTGATCAAGTGTTGTGATAATGGCACTGTTTGTTTGTTTTTACAAAGAAGTGTGGGAAGGATTACAATGCGTTATAATTCATAATTGTTCTTTGCCTTGTACTGTGCAGACCAGAATGCTTCGCTATCAACTCCTGGCTTTCCATCGGCATGGTGTTCAGCTGCAGCGGCATCTGGTCCGTGGAGTTGAAGTTGCTGAATGGCTGCACTGACACAGGATGGGTTTGCGTTGGCAATGCGATACGGCAGTCATTCCACATCATGAGCTACATGTTTATGTACTTCCTCCGTATACAAAAACTTCGTGACTTTTTTTAACGGTGTTTTTGAGCAAGAACCTGCTCAACGAACGGCGCCAAAGGCTGTCATCGACAACCCACGTCCATGTCGAGGTTAGTTTGGTTGATCCCGAACAGATTCTCCACGGACGCCATGCGTGTGAGGACGTTGCCGACAGAAACCGTCAAGAGTCAAATGAAAAAAACTAACACTTACTTGCTCGAAACTGACACAGTGACGAAGTGTAGCTCGTGGCTGGACACGGAGTCACCCGGCACTCGTGGCCAGGCTCGTACTTGCGGTGCGCGGCCCCATAGATCTACGCAGCGTGAGAACATAGAATACTGATTTGTTTCGCTCGCACGGCAAGATGAAACATTTCAGTCGTCGTGCAACCAGCGCAGACTCAGGATCAGAATGTCGATGGCCTGGCTTTCTTCGCCTCTCTCCAGTCAGACGTCTCCTTTGTCGCCAAGGGGAATCGCAGGGACCTCCTCGAAGCCATTGTAGAATGCTTGGAAGGATTATCCTGGCAAGAAAATGCGAAGCGTGTGGGTGTGCTTGTACGACTCATTTCACGGCATAATGGAGGTCGCGGGTTGGAACGACTGAATATAGTGGACACCGATTCGTACACAGCTCTAGAGATGAAGTAGCCAAAGTCCAGAGTCGGATCATCACTACAGGTGACAAGAATCTGAACGAAAATGCGAGCGGAAGCGGCGACTGTTGGCGATGCGGAGTCCGCGTCGTCAGGAGACAATGACATGAGCTGAGCGACAAAGACTCTGAAAAAACTCAATCTCATCCGTCTGAGTTGCTTTTTCTTTGTATATAGCTTGTAAACAGGTTAGACAACGCCACGAGTGTTATTCCGAGTCAAACGGATCAATTCCAGAGCTGTCAAATAAAAGTCACGAAGTTTTAGTATACGGAGGAAGTAATTTATATTGTCGCTCGTCCAGCAACGTCAAGGCTCTGCATGTAAACACAGGAGAACACCATAATAAAAAATACTACTCATACTCAGGGGATAATAATTATAATAATTTTGGATTAGCAATTTCGTGCCATTTATGGGTTCCTGTCTAAACCATGCCGTGATATTGATTTCTATCTGCTCACAAAGTACCTTGTATTGTAACAATGCTCTGCCTAATCACTACCCTCCGCCAATTATTAGATTCACACAATATTCACAACGTATGCAGCACAATGCCATGGTTGGCTATAAAAACCCTGCAATTACCACGCAAAGTGATCATTGGCTACCCCAGCCATGTATTGCTTGGAATAAAATGAATAAATAAATGCTGTCTATTGACACTACTTCGAACTGAAATGCTCACTACTCTTTTCCCGTTTTCAGCTCCCTCTACCTTATGAATACTCTACATTACTGGTTTCGTTTCTACCCTTTCCATTGCTGCCAGCTCCCAGTCTTTTTCAATGCACAGCACCACCTTGAAATTTTTGTGATTTGATGTACACATACTTTGAAGTTGAAATTCGAACTACATGATCAGATTTTTGTTCCACATTTTCTATTTATTTTTACTTCAAGCACAACCCTACCGATGAAGGGAAAGAAGCAGCAGAGAGACACCTACTGAGTCTAATGACTACCACTGTCAGTTCTCAACAAAAACATTTTTTGTCGAATTGAAAAATCTCACCTGTTAGTGTTGCTCACTAGCCACTAGTAACTAGAGAGTTGTTCGTCCACGAAATTCGCAATATAGCACTACGGTACCAGCAAGAGTAGGTAAGTTGGCATAGAACAACAGCTATGCACAGCCATGTTCATCTCCTCTTCACTTTGGAAGGCAGTACAAGCACCCTTCATACCTCGACATCGCCTTGGAGTGGAAGCAAATTCACCATGAGTTTTCCAATTCGCTACAATCGATCTCGGGGTGATGATCGTGTCTTCTTCATCACCACTGCAGCCTGGACAGCCTTCGGGAAGACATGTGTCACTCTCCTGCTCAACAGATTCCTACATCTAGATTTGGTTACCGTCAGGGAACGAAATAGAGCTGCAAAGCACCAAAGTAATTGTTTTCTTCCATTCAATTACACTGCTGAGCATGCACAGCATGGTGACAGCTAAGCAGTACGCACGTCATCAAGCCCAATTTCCAAATATGGAAGGTGTTATTTATGAAATTTGACACGGTTCCTCTTCTCTGATCGGCTCGAGACATAGCTCATCGGAATCAGTGCCCAATTCCCCTTCGGATAAGCCATACTTATTTTTGGCGTTCAGTTTCCCTTTAAAGCTACAAGTAGACTGGCTAAATCATAATCATTGCAATGTTGCATACCCAAATCAACGAAACTCGTTGTGAGGCTTGGTGGTTCCATCTCACAGACGTTGCACTGATGAGCGGTGTAGTGGGCAGGTCAAGGAAGCACATGCACGGCGACAAAAGGTATGTGGCTGAAATCTTGATAATGTCCCCATGTCGCCATGCCACGTCTTGACAGTTCTCACCTAAGCGAGAAGATCCACGGATCTACGGACTGAGGTTGATCTGAGTCTGAGAGGCCGGCAGTAGATCTACCATGAAGTGCAGAGTGTAGATCTACTGTAGCTGGTCTGGAATGCTGGGAGAGCTCTCCTCGGAGTAGATGCCTACATAATCATTGTAGCGCCTGATCAGTGAGAGGACAGTTTGTTTACCCCTTGTATTTAGCGCTGTGAGGACGACAAGAGGTAAGGGAAAGGAGCTACAGACGAGGCTCAGTAGCTTAGAGAGGGCAAAACGGGAGGAGGCGACACTCAGAGGGAAGAAGAAGCCGCACAGTTCGACCGCCAGCCATCATGAGGCTGAAGGCGTTGCTTCTAGCGTCCATTGTTGTGCTAGTAAGTAGTGATTACCGAAACACTTTGAGTTTGAATTGATGGCTTGCAATCTCAGTCACTGCTGGACTGACGGGCTTTATACCCGGCGTAAGACGAAATGTCTCGTCTGCGGTAGTATGAAATCCTCATTGCTGGAAGGATTTTAATTACGTCCAAGTAGTATTCGCATTTGGTTCGACTATTCCGGAAGGGCCCGAGCCTTGAAGGCTTCCCTCCTCCATTCACTACGGCTAGTAGTGGGATAGTACCGTCAGCTCTTGCTACGCATTCCTACTCATAGTCATAGTTCGGTGGATCATCCGTTCTGGCTATGCCATGATTGTATGTATCAGAAGTCGAACTCCTTCGCGACAATGGGGAATACTACCGGTAGTGACTTGTGATGGAGGAGCGGTAGGAGTTTTATACTTTGAACACAACCCGACAAATGAAGGAAATCAACAGGACAGAGCCGCTCCAAAGAGCGGTACGTGTGGGTCACACATGATGGTTGAACCAGCTACATCATAGTACATGGCCAGCCCCATGCCTGCTCACTCCACCAGAATTGCCTATACAGGAGCTGTATATGATCACATCGCAACAGTCATAGGAAGTAGACCTACCAACAACTCCGGTTTCCCTCAGAAGCTGCACTATATGCTTACGCGCATTGTGAATTCACATAGCATTGTCACAAAATGCTAGGACTAGGCCGCAGGTGAATTACCACTTGGGTGTTTTACTACAACAGGCAGTGTTCTGGTCCCCTGGCAATGACAACAATGAATACTCTGTATTCAGTCGTCCTCTCTGCCAAGTTCAGAGTTTACAAATCATTTTCGTGTGTTACTGTTGTTGCTTGAATGTGCACATAGGCCGCAGCACAGTCAGAGGACGAGGTGAGTCGGCCGAACCCAGCTCAGGTGGAGGATAGCGTGGACAACGCTATCGTGCAGAAGCATCACCTGGCGGAACACACGAAGTAAGATGAACCTTGTTTCGCCTCAGTCTACTGTACTCTGCGGGGGGGGGGGAGGCAGGGAGAAAGGACGAGGGATAGAAAAAGCTGGGTGAACAAAAAAAAGAGGAATGGCAGTAAGGAGAGAGAGAATAAAGCCGCCATATTTGAGCAATACAACCACCTAAAATTGCCGCCTTCTCGATCCAGTGCATTCAGATCGATGAGAGAGCACACACGCAAAGAACAGAATTTACAGCTCGGACTTGCCAACATTCGGCAGAGTGGAGTAAAATTGCAATCTGCTCACCGGTGCCAATATATCATAAGCTAAAAGTGCAGATTCATTTCAAGCCCCAATGCTTGCCTATCTAATAATATCATGATGTCATAATTATTATTATACAAAAGTGTATGATACTGTACTGTCCTGTTCTAACAGAAACGTGATAAGAGTTTACGTTGAAGGTCCCACCGTCTGCAGGTATTCCAGTAGACGTAAATCTATGAGGCACGAGAGCAAAAGCATGCCTTTGGATTTACTTCGAAGTAAAATTGTTTGTAGAAAATAGTTGGGTGGACGTATCCATTCCCAAACCACTGCAAAGGGCCGAGCAAGTAAAATTATTTACATGTACATACAGTCGACTCCACTTATAACGAACTCGCATAATAATTATAGCTAATACCGTGATATAGCGAACTGTTGTCCATGTCCCTGTTTGAACACGTACAAAATGGACCCTTTATAGCGAACAGTTTTCCGTTATAAGGAACCAACATATTGGAGGGTCGCATGTAAAACCAAGTGCTTTCAGACGGTCATGGACCACTTTCCAGTCATGACTTGTTGCTTGTAGGGTGTGAGTGCATTTCTGTTATAACAAACTTCGGCTACAAAGACCTAATTCTCCCCAGCACAATGGTGTTCGTTATATCAGGAGTCGACTGTAAGTGGGTTCGTGTTTGACTGAACCCTGACCTAATTGTGTAGCAGGCGCGTAGCCCGCTGGGGCACGGAGGCACATGCCCCCCCCCCCTCTCCTAAAAATTTCGAACTAGATTCAGTATGCACATATTGACCATGAATGAATGACATGCACCTGCCATTGTATACATATACGGATGGGCACCTTCCTAAAAGGGGGACCAGCTACCCCCCTGGGTAGGGTGTGTTCGCATTGGGAGAGGGGGTTGTGCATGTTTGCACACAGTTGTGTGTGTGTGTGTGTGTTTTTGATGATGCTGTGTATACGACTGTGATTTGACTGTTGTGCTTCAGCTGTGTAGCAAAGTGCATGCTATACATGTATCAAGCTGTGGCTGTACTTCTCAATGAGTACTATACTGATGGTTATTTGTCTCAATCACGACGCACTTTAACGTTATACAAGGAGTCCACTGTCGTTTTTCTGCCCAACAGGTTGCACAATCCATGTGCATTGCGGCACTGCACGTCACGGCAGGTGTGCAAGGTGGTCATAAACCCGGCGCTGCAGTTTCCCGTGGCGCACTGCGAGGATGCCTTTTCCCTAGCCGGTAAGCATATTGTATGTCAGGAGTTCCAAATCACTTGGACTAGACCAACCACAGTAAAACCTGTGACTAAAGACCACCGTGACTAGCGACCAGCCTGGTACTACAGTAAAACCTGTAACTAAAGACCACCGTGACTAGCGACCAGCCTGGTACTACAGTAAAACCTGTAACTAAAGACCACCATGACTAGCGACCAGCCTGGTACTACAGTAAAACCTGTAACTAAAGACCACCATGACTAGCGACCAGCCTGGTACTACAGTAAAACCTGTAACTAAAGACCACCGTGACTAGCGACCACCCTGGTACTACAGTAAAACCTGTAACTAAAGACCACCATGACTAGCGACCAGCCTGGTACTACAGTAAAACCTGTAACTAAAGACCACCATGACTAGCGACCAGCCTGGTACTACAGTAAAACCTGTAACTAAAGACCACCGTGACTAGCGACCACCCTGGTACTACAGTAAAACCTGTAACTAAAGACCACCATGACTGGCGACCAGCCTGGTACTACAGTAAAACCTGTAACTAAAGACCACCATGACTAGCGACCAGCCTGGTACTACAGTAAAACCTGTGACTAAAGACCACCATGACTAGGGACCAGCCTGGTACTACAGTAAAACCTGTAACTAAAGACCACCATGACTAGCGACCAACCTGGTACTACAGTAAAACCTGTAACTAAAGACCACCATGACTAGCGACCAGCCTGGCACTACAGTAAAACCTGTGACTAAAGACCACCATGACTAGCGACCAGCCTGGTACTACAGTAAAACCTGTAACTAAAGACCACCATGACTAGCGACCAGCCTGGTACTACAGACCACTTTGCCAGGCACGGACGGTCTCACATTCATATATTATGGTTGTGCAGTGCAAACCTCCAACTTAAGACCACCTGCCACTTAAGACCGGTTTCTCTGGCCCCGAGGGGTGGTCGTTAGTTACAGGTGGTACTGTAGTGCATTCACTGCATGATCTGTTTGCACACCGCTGGCCATTGAAATCTGGCCACGTGCTCGGGAACAGCACCGCGACTTCCATCTCGGGAGCAAAAACTAAGCTGCCTTACTCGACTACTGGGCGCCAAGGGCTGCTTGACACGGGATGCTGAACATGTCCCAGCAATCGAGATTTCACCGGCCAGCACTGTAGTATATATAGCCTTCCGTATGTAGCACAAGATTAGCAGAACGTGTATGCTTCGAAGTACATGCAGGCAAGCAGGAAGAGTCTCTGACAAGGAGGATCTCTAACTGCAGTGATGCATAGAGTCTTTCAGGTACAAGTAAAACAAGTCAATCTTTGTACTATGGCTCTATAGCCTAGGGGATATGATGGTGAAGTGTCATATGGTTACCCAGTACTTCTACTGTATTTGAAAATCGTAATGATTTCGCATGTCCCGCTCTTCTGCACTGAAGGCACGGACTCAGCAACAACTAGTCCGCCATCGTCCACAATCTCGTGTGAGGATGCTGAGCTCAGCACTGACCCAATGAGCTGTCGGGATCAGTCCGACTGGGAGTTGCAAGCACGTACTCACTGCGGACCGGCGGCTATGAAGTCCTTCAAGGCAAGTTCTCACCGGATAAATATGCGTTACCAAACTGCATGTGACCAAACTGTGCAATGCGAAAGGCAAAACACCAAAAGAAGAGGGTTGCCCAGACGTTTTGTCGAAAAAGGTTGTAAAATACTCCCTCTTTTTTGTTACACAAGGGTGCTAAACAAAAGCCAATGGTGTCCGATCTGCTGGCTTGATATTTACCATAGAGTTCCTCAGGCCAGATAAAATTCCCTGCACTGTAGATTGTATGCATGGCAAGTTGAATAGTGTATTCCATAGTGCTTGCATGCGATGTGTCCTCCAGTACATGACTTTTTGGATCCGTCCCTACAAGCTAAACGGTATTTCATCATTAATCCTGTGCCAGTAGCCGAGGTTCAAGTTTGGAATTGCATTGATAATCAGGACAAAGCCATGATTCAAAGCATAACCCTTCACCATCGGTATAATTTTGTGTCTTTGCCTGTGTGTTCTCAGGTGCAAACGGAATGCTTATCATTTGACCCAACACCAGTCTACCAGTTTGCTAACTTCCAGTGCTGCTCCAAGAAAGGTCAGATAGCTGCAGACTGTATCTTTAAAGTAAAATTCACACAAACACACACACACAAACACACACATACACACACACAAACACACACACATGCAGAGACCTTGACCTTGATCTTTCCCATTGCGTAGAAATGATAGCACATTGTCATTTCTCCGGTCCATGACAGGATGACTGATGGCTTTTTAGGTCGCCGCTTTGACGGAACATGCGGCCGCAGGCGCAACTGTAGATTGCAGCAGAGGGTGCTCTGGGTGGTCGACGGGCAATGGTACAACACACTGGACAACACATCGTACCATCCACATGTTGGTACCGATAGCTCAACTGATGCGAGGTCATACACAACGCGGCGCACACACAGATTGTGAAATTTTCCGGGTGGCCAAGCAGTGGGAGGTTCCTACCAAGTCCTGATGGGGTTACTCTGAGGAGGAGCCTTCAGAATCTGTTAAAAATGTATTTTAAACTCCATGTAGCCAGGATGTCCTCAAGAACAGTGATGTCGGTTCTTGAAAACCTGATAAGATCATTACTTACAGCCAGCTGGCGGTATACATACAACTTGATCATGTTGATTAATTAAAAACAATCAGACTTGATTATGTGAACCCTGAAAGTTGAGGCTCTACTTTACTGTGCCAATGGATTCTACTTGAACTTAATCAAATCTCAAGCTCACCGTGGCTGCTGATCTATGTGACTATGTCACTGGAGATACCCAGCTAGAGGTCGGGGGGGGGGGGGACCTGTGCAGCACAGGTTGCGTTGACGCCACCCAGTAAGTGGCCATCTTGTTCTCCATTGTTTCCGGCGATTGCCCGGGACTGGACGTCCAGCTCATTTCCTGCATTGAAGCTGGATGTTGTGACATGTGAAAGGCAGTTGATTTGGCCAAGCTCCCTATACCAGCATGCAATAAGAGGGATGTCATAGCGATTTTCGGAGTGAAACCCGCTCAATCGGTCTAATCCAATTTGGAAACTTATCTACCAGAACTTTATCCATCAGACCCTTATCTGGTTGCTCATGTACATGAAATCCAGTGAGCTACTGCAGTCAGATGTACTGTAGAGCTCACGTAGCCCCCACATTGACAATATGATTGGTTAGCATGGTACTAGAGCCACTTTCAAGGCACGCATTTTCCGGTCTCCATAGTAAATCGTGTAGGGATGAAAAACGCCTTGGATACTGTATAGTGTGCAGTCTCCTTTCTTCCCGTGCGGCAAATCTAATCACACTTCTACTGTACATGAAAACCTGGTGAAGAATGTGTGAAGCGGGTAATATGCCAGTACATCGGCTCATTTCTCTTATGATGCTGTGCTGCTTTTGCTGCGTGGCCTGTCATACAAGTGGTTATTCCGATGATCACGGCAGTGGCTTGACAAGACCAAGCCTTTTATCCAGACATGTCACTTGAAACAGCGCAAAATCCAGTACTTATCCTCACTATCATACATAATCGTTTACAGCAAGATGGCGGTAGCATCTGTGGCTTTGCTGTATGCGGCCAGTTCAGTCAAAAGCTGGCATGCTAGTGTGCCGTTGTCTGATATGGCCATCATGCTCCAGTTTAGTGCTGCATCTCCACATGTGTATTATCTCGAGGTCCTTACCCTTCGCAGGCCATACAATTGGTAATACTGGCCTACATTAGCTCTGCTCTGTAAAATTCGTGTATTACATGTACATGCAATCTTTGGCATAATTTCCTCTTCAAGTATACCTGATTGTGTGGCATGTGTAGTCTGATGGCATCAGATGTTGGTGCACAGTGTTATGAGCATCCAGCTTGTAGTCATCTCTGTTCTGTGTGTGTGTGTGTGTGTGTGTGTGTATGTGTGTATGTGTGTGTGTGTGTGTGTGTGTGTGTGTGTGTGTGTGTGTGTGTGTGTGTGTGTGTGTGTGTGTTTCCTTAGTCGCTCCTCCATCACTTCCCAGTAAGCCAGCTGCTAAGAAGCCGCTCTCTCCACCAAAGAAAGAAGAAACAAAATCAACCAACAAGCCAACACCCCAGGAAACAGAACTCAACACTTCACCACCTGTGACGACGACGCCGGCGGCACAAGCCACACCTCAGCCTGCCACAGTTCCCGAGGAAGATGAACCGAAGACACGACCACCGGCACCAGCCAATCAAGAACAGAAGCCTGTACTGCCTCAGGTCCCATCACCTGTGCAGGAAAAGCCTGCCAAGAGTGTACCTCCCAAAGCTACGACATCTGGAGAGGACCAACCAAAAGCCAAGCCACCTCCCCCACAGCATCCAAAGGTTGGTACCAGCGTATCAGGTCAGGCTGTCTAGTATCCATCTTCATCACAAATATCCACACATATGGCATGCACACTCAACCGGAATCCATACATTGTCCGCTGTTTAGTGGCGCACGTTGGGATTATTTTGTCGACAAAGCTTGCAAAGAAAGAGAGAGAGGGTTCAAGTGCAATTCGAGCAAGTTCCAAGTTCTCTTCTATTGCTTATTGTCTTTGTATAGGATACCATGGCTGCCAAGAAACCAGTGAAGGTTGAAAAAATTCCAGCAGCGCCAATGGAGGATGTGGAAGGTAAAAACTATGTAATGCTGGTTGCTGGTTCTGGTGAGCCCCAAATGTGTCAGCCCTCATGCAAGGCTCGCTGCTTTTCTCGCTGTTGGAAAATTCTGACTTTGATTCTTTGAGGTAAAAAATGCTTTATTGTTCACTAGACATAGCAACCGCCTCATCCAGTCACGCTGAGCTTCGCTAGTGAGACCAAACAAGGTTGAAACAGTCAGCTTTCCGGAGATTGGGTGACTGTACTACTACTAGCTCCGACAAGCAAAACTTGGCGCGTTTTTCACTTCAAATTACTAGAAATAACTCCCACTTTACAATCAAAACTAATGATTGACTCACCAAAATTCAACTTTGTATTGCTCAACAAGGACATTAGATTTAGAGACACCTGTTCGGCTGAATCACTCTCTGATTCAGAGATCGCAGTTTCGTCTGGAGAGGAATTGGCCTGTTTTGAGGCGAAAGTGCGACTAGAGCAGATTCAGTTGCAGCGAGTGCTAGTACCTCTGTTGTAATCGCTGTGAAAATCTCGATGTCGCTCCTGTGTGCTGTGCTCGAGCAACGGTGTCGAGGGTAGTCGTTTCCGCCGCCACTTGCCAGGTTGACGTGGTAAGAACTGTGCAACACCTCCACAAGTGCCTGGACTTCAACTGTTTTGCCGGGTATTCTCGCCAACTGTCCAAAATTGCCTGCAGCAATTCCTGGCGATTTTCCTTAGCCACCAGAGACGCATCGCTCTGGTGGCTATTGAAAGACGCTAGGATTGTTTGGCATGGACGTATGGACTCTGTGCTGGCGGAGTGACCAAGTGGAGCGGAGAGAGAGAACTCCTTGGTTTTCCATTGCAACGCGAAAGCACAACGATTCTCCTTCGCAGAATGGGTGCGCGCACTGTTTTGCTGGTACACGAGAGACTGGTGTGCCTCTGACTAAGTCCGAGCCATGTGCCACTCACCAGCTCGTCGCTTGGCTTCCTGCACCCGGTTGCATGGAGCTACAAGTAGGTCGTACCTCACACTCACAGCCTTGTGAAGTAACGTTAGTTGTGGTACCAACACAAAAAAAATTAAAAAACGCGCCAAGTTTCGCTTGTCGGAGGTAGTAAATAGCAATGTAATTCTTAAAGGGGAAGTTAAGGCAAAAATTAAAATTTCACCAGTTGTAGTCTTTGGGGTGCTGAGTCGAATGGTCTTGGTCCGAGAAAGCTGAGACGCTCCCTTCCTACTTGAATCCCAATCGAACTCGCGCACTTCCACCGAAACTGGGTGACTGCGCCCTACTAGATGGGGATTTGTATGCAAAATGTCACTAAAAGCGCCATTTCGTTCTTATAAAGGCACGGATGACCGCGATTGGCCCATATGTTGTAGTCTTTTGGACGCTGAGTCGACTGGTTTTGGTCCGAAAAGGCTGCGATGCAGCGTTCCTCCTTTATTCCCAATCGAACATGGTTGAACAAGCGGTCACGTGCTCCTGGGTGCCCAAATAACCTGGTCACCACGCCAGCAGGCGACAACTTTCACACCAAGGTTCAACTCGAGTGACAGGACTGCACCCAAAAAAGGTCAAACAGGCTAGTAAGTTGTACCCTGCAGGCACGGTGACCAGGTGACTGGCGTACGCAGCAGCACGTGACCGCTTGTTCAACCATGTTCGATTGGGAATAAAGGAGGAACGCTGCATCGCAGCCTTTTCGGACCAAAACCAGTCGACTCAGCGTCCAAAAGACTACAACATATGGGCCAATCGCGGTCATCCGTGCTTTTATAAGAACGAAATGGCGCTTTTAGTGACATTTTGCATACAAATCCCCATCTAGTAGGGCGCAGTCACCCAGTTTCGGTGGAAGTGCGCGAGTTCGATTGGGATTCAAGTAGGAAGGGAGCGTCTCAGCTTCCTCGGACCACGACCATTCGACTCAGCACCCCGAAGACTACAACTGGTGAAATTTTAATTTTTGCCTTAACTTCCCCTTTAAACTGTATAGATTATCATAGCTACATGGTAGCTGTAGTATTTGCACTTGGTCAGGCCTGATCTTCTACCGAGGGAAACCTGCTCCTGTTGTTTGCATGGTCACGTCTCGTGAGCATCACTAGCCTATCTACGCTGGTTGACACAGCATCCTGCAACTTCACTATCCGGGGGGGGGGGGGGGCATCAGTTGGGTTTGAGCAGGCTCAGGGACGTAGGCTATGCACCAAGACACTCACTCTTAGCTGTCATTCTTGTGAAAACAAACCAAGGTCGAGTGGAACAAAAAATATATCTTTATCTCAACTAAGAGTTTCATGCTAGTCCATTCCAATGCTGTGTCTTGCCTGATCCGTTCTTGTGTTGTTGTACACTTTATGTAGAGGGAGGCAAGACTGGAATAAGAGTCAATACAGTTACTATCATTGTTTAAGTTTCGATCTTTCCATGGCTCTTTTCTTTGTTGCTACGTGCATGCAGCACATCCTGCAGATCATGCTCATCATGACAAGGGCGATGAGGTGTCTGACCACTGGTTTGCAGTAATGGCCATCGGCGGCACAGTAGTACTGGCCGTTGTCATAGTGATTGTCATTGTTGTTCGGTAAGATGCGACCATCAGGACTATTCTATGTATGGTATCATGTAGAATGTTTGTTAGGATAAAACACATGTTTGTCCTACAGGAAAGGAGCGTGTTGATGATGCTATGCATCCAGTCAAAGAGCATACCTCTGTATCATGCAATGCTACTGATCTGGGAATTAGCCAGGGCGGCTCCAGCGAACACTCTGTTGGTTTGGTTGGGCTATCATTTGCTTGGTTTGAGTATAAGCGCCTAATTTTTATCTTAGTACAGAAAACATTACTCTGGATCTGGGTAATGATGAGCTGCACTAGAATCATGGACAATGCACTGCCTGGTTACTACTCACTAGTGTTTACCTCGTTTTTAAAGTTAGCCATCAAAACGAGAAGGTGTTTGCGGGCGTGGGGAGGGGGGGGGGGAGAGAGGAGGGGGACAGTACCACATTAAGTCATCTTTGTTACAGGTATGCAGCCAATGGTCTGGTCAAAAAATCGTTCTCAGTATTTTGCTACTACACTAAATCTGGGTAATGATCAACTGGACTAAAACTCTGGCTACTGCACTGTTGCCTTTGCTGTTTACAGCTGTGGACGATAATCCGTTCTCCCTCCTGTCTTCTGTTCTGCGCAGAATGAACCGCAAGCAGCAGGTACTGCACAAGCCACGACACCTGTTGATCGATGCCAGCGGCACCGCTCTGGGTTACGCACGCAAACACGGCAGCGCCAGCGACGAGGATGCGTCGTGGCCGGGAGCCGACGGGCTCGTGTTCGACGACACCGAGGTGCAGAACTTTGTCAATCCGGTGGCGATGTACAGCAACGCAGGTGCGCACGTCGACGACGGGGATGACCAAGCGGCAATCATTGAGCCGTCCGAAGTTGCACACTGGGAAATGGAGTATGCCGCGCTGCTGACAGGCACGGAGCAAGTAAATCCGGACAAGAAGAAGTAACGTTCGCACTACCAGACTTCCATGCCCCTCAGCTGCCTTCCATTGTGAATAGCATAGAGAACAACAAGGGCAATCAAGGCTTGTCTGCGGCTACTCAAAGTTTCATGCTTTCATGAATAGCATACATAAATTGCATTGCGCCTGCACATGCACAGTGTCTGCAATGAAATTCCTGACCAAACGTAAACTTTCATAATGTGAACTGGATACCATGCAATTTCAAATCACCTGCGCTAATCAAATATTAGATGGATTATAACATTCTGGTTCTAATACGACAGTGACTTTATCAACGGCTAATGGTTTTGTTCTGAACTTCTCCAATACGGGGAAAGGCTGCTGAGTAGTATGGAGAATGTTGTGGAGAACATTTCCGCCATTCAGGTCTTCAACCTCTTTTTTGCTATACATGTATAGAGGAGTGCTTTGCGTACTCTCTTCTAGTGGTGGGGACCTCTCGTCTTTGTTTGTATGTGTATGTGTGCCTTTGCGCGCGCGCGCGTGTGTGTGTGGGGGGGGGGGTCATGCCACTGCTATGTGTGTCAGTTTCTGCCGTCAGCTACTAGGCACACCATGGCGTCGGTTAGAAATCTGGCTTTGAGAAGTGTACTGTCCACGGCTTCCACATTCCACCTCATGTTTGTAATCATTTCTTATATCTCTGGGCTGCAGTGCTGCTGTAGAGCCCACAACGTTAAAAAACAGCACTGCCCGCATATTGACTGCTATCTACACACTGAAATGGGTCCAACTGATCATGTATGACACAGGCAGTGTGGCTCTGATCCTGGAAAATACATAATGTGTATGTTGCACATTCAAACAGTGGACAAAAACGTTATGGTTGTAGCTCATAGGCCATAACCTGCCATAGTGCTCAAATGCCCGTAATGGGCGGAGCGTACTACGCAAGCAAGAGGTACGCAAAGTTTCAACTGTGCAACCATCACGGCATCAGACAACATGATACTGATGAGTGTGCTGGTATTTGTGTGGGGATTGGGTGCACATTGTGCCAAGAATTGAGAGCATGGCATGTTATATGGTGCTGTGTGTGTCACAGCTATGATGGCTAGGGAGGGGGGGGGGGAGGTTGCCAGTGGATAAGTGATAGGCACATGGGGTGTGTAACAGTATGTGCGAGGTACGTTACCAGTTTGTATAGAAGGAAGATGTTTCAGGAATATTGTAATATGTATCTAGATGCTGCTACATTTTTGGTGTACTGGTGCAAATTCAGCTTGGAAATGCGCAGGCATGGGCTAGTTATGTCAGAAACATGATTGCTTCATCTTAGTCATTGTGTGACAAGGATTATATTATCACAATTACTTGGCTATCTGCCTGACAACACCCCAGGTGCATGTCAAAGGATACACCGCATCTTATACTGGAATTCAGCGAACAACTTTGCAGACGTGGATGTGTTTCCATTGGCATTGCATTGCAAAGCATCTGCTGAGCAGCGCTGGGCTGTTCAACGGCAATGACCGCAGGATGGGCCAGGGCGAGACAGAACGCATACTCAGAATCACCCACCCCTGGGAACACAAGTCCTGATTATCATAGAGAGTGCATTGTGCGCATACACGAACGAGATAACATTGATAGACAATTGGATTACATACATAGGTCATTAGCGGTGTGGAAACAAACCTGTTCTATGCCCTGCAGCGATCCGGGCAGACCAGGACATCTTGCGAAGACCCCGAAGAAAACCAACGACGATTGCTCATGTGTTGCTCACGCCAAACCAAAAACTTATTGTCATGGGAATCTCAAGCACTTGATGGTCCTGGACGTAAAGTGCATGTGTGTACAGTAACGCTGAGAGCACACTGTGACACGCTACATGCACTGACATGATCTAGTCTAATGACTGTCTATGCCGCAGACTGTGCGTGAAGTGCCGGTATGCGCTGCCAAGAGGTTAGGTTCCAGGCCGGGCAGTTTTGAAGAGCCAATTCCTGGGAAACCCTCGAGAAGTTGACAAACGGGAAGTGACACTCTTGCTCCTTCAATCATCACTGTATTTTGCACGTTCAAAACGTGATAGTGAGAGCAAATGTATTTAATACCATCAGTTGTCTGATGATTGCCTAGCGGCATGAAACTCAGAGTTACAACCAACCTGAACGTCCTCCGCTGAGTCTGCTAATACCATCATAGATAATTCTCCTTAATGAAAAGCAGCAATGTTCATCTCCTTCAGGCGGCTGAGGCCGATAACAAGGGAGCTGACACATTCAAAAATGAACCAGCCACACTTTGTGATTCTCTACTTGTAGAGGTGTACCAACGGAACTTGTTCAGGGACGTTGGATTTGGTTTTGGTGGCTCAAAGCCATCAACTAAGAGATTTTGTGGTGTTACCTGCCCGTGTACTCAGGAGAACATCAATCCAAGAGTGGGAAATTGTCTCTACTCCCTCTATGCAGTGCTGCATCGGACGAGATTCACATCATTATGACATGGTTCAGAGGCCGTTACTATGGGCAAACAGTGCAAAGTGCCCACCAGAGAGTTGTACACAAAGCAGGGATGCGCACACCCCTGTGTCTACCAAGCACAGGGTACATGATTGTTATGTGTATGAGTTGGTCATGTGATGTGAATAATGAATGCAACCAATCACAGAAAGTGAGAGAGTGAATGCAAAGGTCTGTCACTGAAAAGCCAACAGACAGGAGTGGCACAGTCTTTGAGGTTGTTTACTCCAGGCATGTTCTGCCTGCTGGCTCCAGATCGGGCAAGTGTCACCAACTGATTCGCCATGTTTCTCTCTATACTCACCAGATTGAAAAAGCCTCCCGGGCCATGGAAAGGTGTTTCGCAAAACCCAGACACAAAATGTCTTCAATAAGCTTTCAGTTGTGACCTGGACACTCTTCTCACAGAACTGTCACAACACCGAAAATCAAGTAACAGGAATGCCATTTCATCTGCAGTTTAACTGTTATCGACCAAGACTTGTACCAAGGGCTACTTTGATACTCCCTGACCCATCCTCACACCTGCAATGTGCTGATCTGATTGTAATGCATGGTCTCTAGGGATCAGGAATCCATAGCTCCCTGGCCTGGAGAGTGTACACCAGGGCGTCCTTAAAAATACTCCCTGGTGGACAGCTGCCAATGACGGTACCATTTACGAGCGAACTACCCACCATCTATGCATCACAACATTTCTGCTTTCCTCTCTAGTCAGATAATAAAATTCCAGAGGAAAGAGTAAAGGGATAACTTTGCATATGAATTCTTGCATCACTTAAAAAGAAACAGGAAAGGGATAACATTGCATGCTTACCAACACTGAACAGATCAGCATGTTGGATTCCTTTCAGTGAGATTGTAGCTTGCATGGTTATGACTAATTATTGTCATTAATCGTGGATGGAATGCCAACGTGGAGTAGTCCATGATCGTTCCTTTCATCTACATGTAGGTGATCCCCTTCTGGGTGGGCCACCTGCTCCATCTTTGCTCCCCCAGTCTCTTTTCTCTTGCCAGAGTCTTGGAGTCAAGCACAGGCTCATAGTTGAAATCTCGGCAGCCATGCACACTCGGTCAGGGTGAGCTGGGGACTGGGAAACCAGCCTCTTCTATAATGAGGGGTGCGATCAAATATGGAACTTGCCTTTTGACGCCATTCCTATGCCACATAACCCTGCAGTGTGAATGCCCTCGTGCCACATTGCTTATCACACCGGCGTACCTGAAACGAGCGCAAAAATACTGGAGAAACATACGTACATCGCGAAGTGCCAACACATGTATCAGCTGCATTCAGTACTGGAACCAGCACTAACAGGGTCCTGACTCCTGAGAGTGCATTCTGATTCACGCGCCCTAGAATTGGCTTGGAAATACGAATGTGCTTCTAAAGACGAGAGAGTTTATGAGCAAAATCATTATAATGCATATGCATGTGCTTAGGTTGCGTCTTCATATCCAGGATTTGGTGAGGCATTTCCATACCAGAGGAATATCACTGAATAAAGTCAGCGTAAGAATGTAGATGGCTGGCATTCAGGGAAGATTGAGTACTAGTGCTGTTTCCATGCACGATGGCCCTCTGGTACCACACCTGTTTATTGGGCACTGACCGAGGACATTCACTATGGCCATGGACAATGAGTCATACAATGCTGCTACATGATCCAAAAACAAACCGGGAGATGGGTGTAAGCAGAGACCAAAACCAAGCTCAGTTGTCCAAATTCTTCATGAAATATTTCACTGCAAACATGAAAAGATGTGGACACAAGTTATTCGATCGAGTCCACCAACTAAACCAGATTTTTAACGCTCAGCCGTGCACAATCTAGCACAAAACTGACAAGGAGTACTGAGACATTCCGAATGCTGAGTTCTTAAAAATATTTCACTTTCTTGAATTTTTGGAGGAACTTTTTAAATCGACGTCTGTCCTGTGAAATCAAAGTTTACTTCCATCAAACATTGCGCAAAGGATTGCAGTGCGCATGTATGTTATAATTTCAGTGTGACTGTTTAGTATTTGTTGAGATCCTGGATTGATCAGCGAACAATTGGACGCCGAGACAACAACGTGTGATTTCCATCTACCGAAGGCGCACTCCCCAAGACCGCTTGGAGAGTGTAGTGAGGATGCACGGTTACCCAAGGTGCTCTTCTAATAAGTAATAATTGATCGATGGACACGACACGAATTTCCTCGTTGTGGAGGTGGAGCGTTAACAAAATTGGACACCTGGCATGAACAATATTGATACTGCGACCTGGATCCATGGACCCAGACCGCCTCACTTTCGGAACACCAGCTGTAGCAGTCACTCATGGCCAGTCCTTATCAGTGTTGCTGGCAGGCACGACTGCAATATAAATACACTTTGCATACGCATAATAAAGTGCCTTGTTGGCAACACATCCGAACCTCACTTGATCTAATTTATCACCTGCTAGACTACATGATGAGCAGCATTCACAACTCACTTACACCAAGAGCATTGATCCAATAATCACATTTGTAGTCTAACCAGCATCCGATTGTAATAATTGAGTTTTGCTACATTTAGTTGCCAGCATGGTGGGATGCTGGTAAGTATTCAAACCAATGACTTATGGCTTTGATGCTAGGCATATGCGGATAATGCCGGCAGAAAAATTGGCAGAATTCGGTACGTTTTCTGGTAAGTTTCATGCATGTTTGGTATGTGGATAAAGAAATGGAGCAGAATTCCAGGAATTGCCCGCCGTAAGGTTTGTATGGTTCTGCCAATTTCACTGCTTTTCGAGCAGAATCTGCCACCTTTTCGAGCATTATCCGCACACCCCTAGTTGATGCTCGAACATGTCGAGATCATGTACATGTACGCCTAGGAAGCTGGATAGAACCATTGTCGAGGCTGTTCGGTGTTGGCACTATTTTCTCCATGACAACCTAGACAAGAGTTCGGTAAGTACATTTATCTTCTGCGTCCTCATCACTGAACCGTGA